GGAGGGCCCCTCCGCCACAGCTGAGAGCACGGCCCGAAACCTGACGGAAAGGGGCGGGACGGGCCTCGGGGTACGGGGGGCCGCTCTCCGAGGGCCAGGGAAGCCTTTCTCGGGCAGGCCTTCCGCGTCCTGCCAGCCCCGCTCGGCCATCAAAACCCCCTGCCTCCCAATCCACTGCCCGATCTCCCGGGCAAGAAGGCGGAGACCAGCGACCTCGCGGGCGGCCTCGGCCACCGAGGGGTGCTGAGCCGCTCCCCGCTTGGCCAAGGCATCCGCGATGCCGTTAGCTTTCCTCTCCCACCGCGTCGTCACCCCCCTGGCCACATCCGCCTCACTAGTGTGGGCTTTCGTCTTATGAACTGGCAAGCCGGACTCAAAGACGGAATGAACATGGCACCAAAGATGTGCCTGCAAATTCTTGGCTGACGTCGAACGAACTCTCGACCGAGCAGCCGCGATGGTGCCGGCACAGTCCGCCCAGACCCCTTCTATATCAAGGGTGTCGGCCAGCGAACAAAGCATGAAGAAGGCATAGTCCTCCCCATCAGCAGACAGCTGAAGAGGCGCAACATCGTACGGGACGGGGCCGAAGGCAGCAGCCAACATCGATCCCGAATCATCTACCATCACAATAGACCAACCGGCTCTACGGAGGAGGGGATCCGAGGGGAAGAGGGCCGAACCGTCGGTGAACAGCCGGCCCCGAAGCAGACCATCAGCTGGCCTGCGAATCCAAAGCACTGCACAATTCTCCGGCGAGAGCGGTGGAGGCACCAGCTCGCGGGGGCTCGGGAAGAGGCCCGAAGCGAAGAATTCCCCCGACCCCCCGAACGCTCTCACCCTCCTGGCAGCGGCCAGAGCTTCGTCGGAGAGGAAGTGAAACCCGGCCCAGGGCCGACGTGCGCGCCCGGCGCGGCAGGGGCGACGGGGCGCAGGGCCTCACGACACGGGGCGCGGGCCGCCGCTGCGCGTGCCGCCAGCGGGCCCTGGGCTGAGGTCGGGCCCGTCCTCCCACAGGCGGGTTTTGGGCGACGAAGGAAAGATGCTGAACATATGCAGAAGACGGTTCAGCAGAAAGGTCGCCTGACGATGTTGGGACTACCTCTGGAGCTTCCTCCTGCAGGGGGCTTCGGTCGGGCATGTCCCTCCCACAGGCGGATTTTGGGCGACGAAGGAAAGATCCTGAACATATGCAAAAGACGGTTCAACAAGAAGGTCGCCTGACTATTTTGTGGACTATTTCGGAGCTTCCTCCTGCAGGGGGACATGCCCGACTTCAGCTTAGGTCGGGCATGTCCCTCCAACAGGCGGATTTTGGACGAAGAAAAATCAACGATTACCCCCCAAGTGAAATCACCCTGTGACGTACCCAACCCTTTCTATACATGTGGCGATTCTACTCAGGACCACTCAATGCAGACTGGCATTCTGAAGGACCCGCAGTGCGCAAGAAGAGCACCCAGCAATGATTTCAGAAGAGCCCAGCAAGAAGAGGAACGGCAACTATACAAAATGGAAAAACAAGGGCGTTGAAAGAAACGCGGATGACGCACATCCGAGTGATCCGCGTGGGACCCACCTCCGCTGGGCCCCCCAGGAGCCCACGAAAGTGGCGACAATTGCACAGATCGCAAGCCCCCCAGGGGGCGGCGAGGTCCCGAGGTGATCCGCGTGGAACCCACCTCCGCTGGGCCTCCCAGGAGCCCACGAAAGTGGCGACAATTGCGCAGATCGCAAGCCCCCCATGGGGCGGCGAGGTCCCGAGGTGATCCGCGTGTGACGTACTTCCGCTGGGCCTCCCATGAGCCCACGGAAGTGGCCACAATTGCGCAGATCGCAAGCCCGCCAGGAGGGCGGCGAGGTCCCGAGGTGATCCGCGTGGGACCCACCTCCGCTGGGCCTCCCAGGAGCCCACGAACGTGGCGACAATTGCACAGATCGCAAGCCCGCCATGGGGCGGCGAGGTCCCGAGGTGATCCGCGTGGAACCCACCTCCGCTGGGCCCCCCAGGAGCCCACGAAAGTGGCGGCAGTTGCACAAATCGCAAGCCCCCCAAAGGGCGGCGAGGTCCCGAGGTGATCCGCGTGGGACCCACCTCCGCTGGCCCACCCCAGGAGCCAACGAAAGTGGCCACAGTTGCGCAGATCGCAGCCCGACGGCACGAGAGAAGAGGAGAAGGGAACACCGAATGCAGAAGGCCAGAGAGAAGGAGGAGGGGAGGAGAGGGGGTGAGGAGAAGGAAGGACGGGGCGACCACACTGCTCTATCCAAAACGAGTACCCAACACAGGAGGGTTGGGACACCATGCCCTGGCGACGTACCCAACCCTTGCGCAATGCGGGGCATAAGTACATCAGGATTGCTACGACGGGGGCCAGGACGTCACATGGACGCATGCGACTTTGCGAGCAGCAATCGGAAGGCTCGCAGGCCCCCGATCAAGAAAGGGCTACACAATAACACATCACCCCCGTTGGCTGTGCCATGCGCCCGTTGCACCCAACGTATCCCACAGTAGCTCTTGAGAGACCCCCAGGGACGGCGAGGTCTCGCTCAGATCCCCGCGGTGCCTCACTCCGCAGGACCCACCAGCAGCCCTCGAAAGTGGCGACAATGTCGCAGATCGCGGCCCCCCCAGGGACAGCGAGGTCCCGCTCAGATTCCCGCGGTGCCTCACTCCGCAGGACCCACCAGCAGCCCTCGAAAAGGGCGACAATGTCGCAGATCGCGGCCCCCCAGGGACGGCGAGGTCCCGCTCAGATCCCCGCGGTGCCTCACTCCGCAGGACCAACCAGCAGCCCTCGAAAATGGCGACAGTGTCGCAAACCGCGCCCCCCAGGGACAGCGAGGTCCCGCTCAGATCCCCGCGGTGCCTCACTCCGCAGGACCCACCAGCAGCCCTCGAAAGTGGCGACAATATCGCAGATCGCGGCCCCCCCAGGGACGGCGAGGTCCCGCTCAGATCCCCGCGGTGCCTCACCCCGCAGGACCCACCAGCCGCCCTCGAAAGTGGCGACAGTTGCGCAGATCGCAGCCCTCCAGTGACGGCGAGGTCCCGCTCAGATCCCCGCGGTGCCTCACTCCGCAGGACCCACCGCAGCCCTCGAAAGTGACGACAATGGTGCAGATCGCAGCCACCCAGGGACGGCGTGGTCCCGCTCAGATCCCCGCGGTGCCTCACTCCGCAGGACCCACCAGCAGCCCTCGAAAGTGGCGACAGTGTCGCGGATCGCAGCCCCCCAAGGACGGCGAGGTCCCGCTCAGATCCCCGCGGTGCCTCACTCCGCAGGACCCACCAGCAGCCCTCGAAAGTGACGACAGTTGCGCAGATCGCGGCCCCCCAGGGACGGCGAGGTCCCGCTCAGATCCTCGCGGTGCCTCACTCCGCAGGACCCACCAGCAGCCCTCGAAAAGGGCGACAATGTCGCAGATCGCGGCCCCCCAGGGACGGCGAGGTCCCGCTCAGATCCCCGCGGTGCCTCACTCCGCAGGACCCACCAGCAGCCCACGAAAGTGGCGACAGTTGCGCAGATCGCAGCCCCCCAGGGATGGCGAGGTCCGCACAAAGCAAGAGGAGAGGGAGACGGGAGACGGGAGGAGGGAGGCGGGAGGAGGAGGAGGCGGGAGGAGGAGGAGGAGGAGGAGGAGGAGGAGGAGGAGGAGGAGGAGGACTGGAGACCGCAGTGCTCTATCCAAAACGAATACCCAACCAAGGAGGGGTGGGAAATATAAAACAAAAGACGCCCCGGAGTACTTCTCTGGATTCGTTTAAAGTGTTCCTCCTGTAGAACAGCGTGCCCGACTTCACCCTGGGCCGTGCGCGGCACGCGCGGGTGCAGTCCCCGCGGCGCGCGCTCCGACAGTGGATGCCAGTCCACAGGAAGCCTTCCACAAGAAACCAGACCCTGAGACACCAGGACGTCCATGGAGTTTGGGTGTGGGAGCGTCACGCCTTCCCATGGCAAGAACATCGAAACCCAAGAAACCCAGGGCACCCTGGAGGCAAGCAGGGCGTTTCTTGGCACGGGTCTCTACTGGAGCCGACTTGCCGACCTCCCTCCACGAGCCCCGTCTCCTGCAGCTCGCCCTCCCTCCTCGTCCTTCACGGGTGGAAGTGCATCGAGGATCAACACTTACTCTTAGACAGTGTAGTCCTCCTCTGCGCCCTCGCGCTCCTCCCATCCTTTAGGACGTCGCAACGCTTGAACAATGTAATGCGGCACTAGCGCAGGCACACCCTGCATGGTCCATTGGGCTCGCGATTGTGTTGCCCAAGGGAGGCTGCGCAGGATAGCAGAGCCGAATCGCGTGTGCGTGTCCTGATGTGTTATGTTTGATGTGTAAGTCCACTAAACTACATATCATGTTGTTTATGTCCCTCATGGTCATCCTCCTCCTCGTCCCCCTCCTCATCTTTATGGTATATCTCCTCCGTCTCCTCCTCCGCCTCCCTCATCGTCATCAGTATCAGCATCCGCATCACCCCATCATCATCATCATCATCATCATCATCATCATCATCATCATCAGCATCATCATCATCATCATCATCATCAGCATCATCATCATCAGCAGCAGCAGCAGCCGCATCATCATCATCGTCATCGCCGTCACCATCATCATCATTATCATCATCGTCATCATCATAATCAGCATCATCATCAACATCAGCATCATATGCATTCTCATCCTCATCATCCTCATCGTCCTCATTATTATTAGTAGCAGCAGCATCAGCAGCATCATCAACATCAGCACCATAACCATCACCATCATCACCCTTATCGTCGTCCTACGTCCTCCCTTCTCACGCCCGCAACAAAATATAATCAGTATAGCTCGTTTGTTGTATTTGGTGTTCTTCAATGAATCCCCTGCGTGTGGCAAGCGCCCCCCCCCCCCGCATAATCCAAACTCTCCTTTCTGTCCTTTTCCCTCTCGTTTCCGTCGTCGTCCTCCACCCTCCCTCCTCCTCGTCGTCCCCGTGCATTGCACCTTTGGCACGCTGATCATTTTTCCATGCAGACACATGCACTCCACTCTGCACGTCCTCAATGGCCATGCGATTCAAAGTCTCGCCAGGCAAACCCGGTGCAATCCAAACGCCGACCTGCGACAGGTAAACTCATGAGATGAACAGTGGCCTGAGAGAGAGAGAGAGAGAGAGAGCGAGCGCGTGAAACATAATGAAAAATCCCCCCCAGTGCCTGCCGCGGGCCGGCGGATCGCAACACCTCAGGTCGAAACCAAAATTAGGCATCCAGCCAACTCCCCGCGGATACGCACAACAAAAGGCGAGCTGGAAGCGCGACGTCCCCCAAGACAGATTGTGAGCTCGGGGGCACCAGCCAACCAACGCAACAACTAGCAATAATGTAAAAAGTTCCGTGAATCACCACGCAAGGGGCATGCTGATAGACACAAACAAGCACGGATTACCACGCCACCCTGACCTCCAATGGATGCGATCCAACTAAACAAAAAACGTCGGGCGTATGTGTTCGCGCTTTGCGCGCGCAAGGTGACGGCAATATCAACAACCTCTCATGAACGACAAGTGAGGCTGCGCCTGGAGTGTACGCGGTACTACGTAAAGAACCTGCTACGCATGCGACCGCACTGCGGGCATTCCTTCTTCTCATTGGTGCAACTAGGCCGACTTGCCATCCATCTGCGCCTTGAAGGCGCTGTCCAGCAGATCGACGATCGGGATCTGTTTGTCCGTGGCGTCTTCGAAGCAGTTCTTCACCTTCAGCAACACGTCTTCCTCGTCGTCGCTCTTGGCCTCGTGCTCCTGGTCCACGAGATCAAAAACCTTTAAGGCCCGCAGCATGGGGAGACGGACATCGATCGCGAGCAAGACGCGCTGCATATCCGACCTCGTGATGGTACGGTCGCCGTTCTCTTCAAGCAGCCTTTCCGTCGCCCACGCAATTGCTTCATCTTTTTTGGCTGATGAATAACCTACAACTTTTTCGCGGATGAAGCAGAGATCCGTGTGAGCCTGACGGACCTCGTCGCAGATAGTGTGGAGCATCTCCATGTCGGGCGTGGTGAACGCCTGGATGGAAGTCAGCTCCACCAGGCCCAGTGGGAACAAGAACAACAAGGACCCTAGGAGTGGAACTAGGAAGCTGGCGTGGTACACCCATACAGGGTAATCCAAGTCGGTGCTGCTCTTTTTCAGGTTGTACATGATGTGCATGACATACATGCCCAACAAGAAGCACACGCTCAGCGACTCGAACTGCAGAAGCCACGCGAGGAACTCGCACCACCAATGCATATCTTCCTCAAGTTCTTCGAGGTCAACATGCTCAGTCTCGTCCTCGCTACTCTCGTCCACCTCAGCAGGGCGTCGCTGTTTCAGGTACCCGTCCACGGACTTGTACAGCTTTCCACGGAGCTGCCTGATCTTGAACACAGTGAGAAGCGTGAGAGCACCAAATATCCACGTCGTGACCATGAATCCATTCACGTATGCTTGAAGACCGACAGGGTCAATACCAACGAAGCCCTTATATAATACCATAGGGACCAGGGCGACGAAAGTGACGAGCCAGGTCACCCAGGTAATATTGATGATGTCGCAGATCTGGTGAGCGAGGGACTCCTGGAAGTACATGTTCCAATTGAACTCCGTTGTCGTCAGACCATGCCGCTCATAGAAGACGCTCTGCTGCTTGACAGTCATCGGGGTCCAGGCTCCCATTTTGGGAATTGCTGTGTCATTGTGCGCCGCCCCTTCGAAGCCTTGCAGATGCTCAGCCGTGCGGTGCCTCATCCACGCGTAGAGCGCGCCCAGCACGATCAGAGAGCACGCGGCGAACGAGACCAGAACGTCGGCGAAGGTGAGGTGCGTTGTGCAGTAGGGGAACTTGTCATCCAACGCCGGATCTACGTTTGTTGCCACGAAGATCGTGATAGCCACGATGCCGAACACCATGAACTCCGTGATGGTCCGCTCAAAGATCATCTTGCTGCAGCGGTTGTGTTCAACCTTTGCCTGCACGAAGGCCTGCACGCGATCTATCAGCAGCCCATAGAAGATCATCCCCGCTAGGATGATCCAGAACTGGACACTGTCCTCGGGGAGCTAAAAACAACTGCACAAGCATAGTTTCTCTGAGGTCCGCGCGGGCTTCTTGGATCCATCCGCGCGGACATCAGGGATCCGCGCTGGACCTCCTATCTCTGGCGCGCGGAGCGCGCCGGGGGCGGCGCCGCAGGCGCCGCCATGGGGACCCAGCACAGATCCGAGACATCAGCGCGGATCTCCGAGAACTCCGACCAGCCCTCTGGGCGTATGGTGGTCTAGAGAGCTTTCTCTTCCAACCCCCTTTTTCTCCTTCGGGGACAGGGTTTTCACTTGTCCCTGTTAATATACACCCCCTCCCGCAGGCGACTGGCGGCCAACCAAGAACCATGCTCCCCCCCCACCATCCCTGTCAACAATCCCATACAAATTCGCACTCTGCCTCCACGTTTGGAGCGTGCGCGGCCAACCCGATGT